TAAATTTGTTAAATTTGTTAAATTGACAATCTGAAGCCTTGGATATATGATGAATTATTCGAGATGCTAAAAAATGCGTATGAAACTTTAAAAGGCAATAAAACTTGGGGATTATCTATACCCTGGGATGCTCTGAGTCACATTGCATTAGGCCTTCATTCTTGAATTGGGAGAATACTCTTCCATGGCCTGAGGTGAAAGTTCTTTTCTCACACAATTTGGGGAGGTTTCAGAGAACAAATGACAACACATTTCTCTCACACAAGGGTGAAATTTAGCAGATTCTGACAGGGCCTGGAGAACCAGTAACGGAAATTTTGAGTAGTTCGGAGAACTGGCAAATACCACCTCTGTCTGGCCTCAGAGTGGGGTGGCAATGGGGATTTTGCAGTATCCTTCCCCTGCCATACCCACCAAGCCACGCCCATAGAACCGGTAGTAAAAAAAATTGAATTTCAACACTGCTGTCACATGACCTCCAGAGGATATATAAAAGCACACCTCCTTCTTTTCAGCCTCCACAGATAAGGTAGAAAAGAAATGGAAAATATACAGATAAGAAATGGCAAAGAAAGCATATAAGCAAAGAGACATTGACTCTTTCCTTCCTTGGAATATGAGATGGCCAGATTTTTTTCTTCTCCCTCACAGATGATATCAGAGACATCTGATTAGTGATTTTTCAATTATAAAACTAACTATGATCTGTTTCCTTGAACTCTCTGATTGGGGACTAGAAAACTCTTACCCAGGGAGACCACATTCCTATGGTTTTCAAGCATGACTTCCGAATGCAGCGCTTTTTGGTCAGGATCCAGCTGAGACCATTCCTCCTTAGAGAAATACACAGCCACCTCCTCAAAGGAAACCAGACTCTCCTGAACGTGGAAAAAACAACAGAACTGGAAGATTTGCAATGTCTGTTCATCTTCATCAATGATTTACACAAGATGATAGAAGGAGGACTCATCAAATTTGTAGACAAGACTAAACTGACAGGAATAACTCTGGAAGATAAGCTCGAGATATAGAAAGATCGGGTTTGGCCCCATCTAAAAAAATGAAAACCGTTGAGAAATGTAAGGCTCAACACTAGAACCTACCACGGGGATCTTGGAGTCCTAGTGGACAATCACTTAAACATGACTCAGCACTGTGCTACAGTTGTCCAAAAAAACAACAAAACAGTGCAATCATTTGATTGAGGATGCTTAATGCGATGCATTAAGAGAGGGATAGAATCAAGACCACGTGAAGTGTTAGTACCACTGTATAATGCCTTGGTAAGATCACACATGGAATATTGCATCCAGTTTTGGTTGCCACAATGTAAAAAAGATCTTGAGACTCTAAAATACAAAAAGGAGCAAGCAAAATGATTAGGGTCCTGGAGGCTAAAACATGCTGGAATTGGGTATGTCTAGTTTAATGAAAAGAAGGACTATGAATGATACGATAAGCAGTGTTCCAATATCTAAGGGGCTGCTACAAAGAAGAGGAGGCCAACCTCTTCTCCAAAAAGCACCTGAAGGCGGGACAAGAAGCAATGGATGGAAGCTAATCAAGGAGAGAACCAACCTACAAGTAAAGATAAATTTCCTGGCAGTGAGAACAATTAGTAGACTGACTTGCCTCCAGAAGGTATGGATGTTCCAATTCTGGAGAGAGTTAAGAAGAAATTGGACAGCCATTTATCTGAAATGTTATAGGCCAGAGCTTCCTGTCTGAGCAGTGGGTTGGCCTAGAACCGTGATGGCAAACCTATGGCACATGTGCTGGAAGTGGCATGCAGAGCCATCTCTCCAGGCATGTGAGCCGTCACCCATTGCTCTTCCAGGTTCCGGCGTAACGGCCAGCTGGTCTTTACGTGTGCCAGAAAGTGGCAGAGCAGCCACCGGTTGCGTAGGCAAACACCAGGAATATGACCTTGATTTTCGTCATGAGCATGCAACCCAGCCACCTAGTCTTCCGGTTTCTGCCCTGCATGCATGCATAAAGGTCAGTGCGCATGTGTGCACCAGAAACCAGACGATCATATTCCCAGCATGCTCATGCACATCAGGTGGCTGCTCTTCCTCTTTCTGGTGCTCCTGCACTTGTGAAGACCAGGTGGCTGGTGTGCCGGAACCTAGAAGAGCAAGGGGAACAGAGTCAGGGCTTCCCGCCCTCGCGGGCTTCTTGCACCACAGCCCCAGCCCTCCAGCTACGGTCTGGAGCACCTGAGTGGCTCGGCCACATGGGGCAGCAGGGCAGCATTTTCTGGCTGGGCAGCCGGCTGCCCTCCCCACTGCTACTGCCAGGAAAATGGCAGTGCGAGAACTGCCGCCGCCAGGGGCGAGGGGGAGCACTGGAACTGTGAAGACCAAGGGCAGCAGAGCTGCCATCCAGGACAGGCGGCAGTGCTGCTTCCCCAGAAATGGCAGAAGCAGCAGGCAGGGCAGCCAGCCGCCCAGCCAGCAAATGCTGCCCCATGCAGGCCAGGTGCTCCAGACCGCAGGCATGTGTTAGTGCCACAGGGTGGAGAAATGGGATGGTGCAAGAAGCCCACTCAGGCGAGGATGGAAGGAAACCACAGCCCACCTATCCTTGCCGCCACCCCCTCACCTCAGTGATGGCAGTTGTGGCGCTTCCAACCAGGATGCTGAAGTAGCCAGGAGGAAGAGGATCCGCCGTGGGGGAGGAAAGCTGCTCTAAGAGGGCTGGGGGTGAGTGCAGCACCTCACGCATGGAGTTGCATCAGCCAGGAAGCGGTCGCGGAAAGTGATTTGGCCATGTGATTTTTTTGGGTTGAGCGGAAAACTTCTGTTTGTAATTAGGTGAAAACCACGGGACCTTTCAGAGCTGGTTTTCACCAGATTTGTGCCAATTTGATATTTCCAATAAAGCTATTATTTTGGGGAATCTACTGTCCTTGGAGTTTTGCTTGAAATGGATTTATTAGTTGCGACACTGACAAACATACCCTAAAAAGAATCTGAGGGTAGAAATGACAAACCAGTGTCTTCAAGTTATAGTCTAGAGAGGACGTTAAGCTGGCTGACAGCAACTTGAACGTACTATTATGCTGTCCATGTCACACAGGAAGACAAAAATAATCCAGTCAGAAGAAGAGGGGGGAAGTAAAAGGAGGAAAGGAGAATACAAATCTAATAACTTTTCCCTTTCTTACTTGATTTGAAGGTTCAACCACTGTTTGAGTTTCATCGCAAAAACTAGAAAACTTCATTCTTTGTTTCTCTGTAAGGATAAAATAATTTCAAAATGCACAATAAAATAGGAGGATGTATTCTATAATAAAGAAGAGATAATGAAGGTAAGACAGATGGGTAATCAGAGGATCTTTCATTACCTCCTGAGGTGTCCCGACTTGGATCTTCCCAATGGTTCCTCCTGAAAAATAGCTTCTCGGGGTTTTTTGATGGATTCTTTTTTCCCTCAGGATCTCTGATTTCCACAGTAAAGCACTTCAAATAGGGGGAAGGAAAAGAAGAGAGAGAATTAATGTACATCACACGACATAAAGTGGATTCCTATGTTCGGAACACAACTTCAAAGCCCCAAATATCCACCATTGAGGTTGAGTGAGAAAACAATGGAACAATGTCCTACAAGAATTCGAGGAATATTGCATATATTATGAATTTCAGAAGTTTGGGAAGGAGGGGGGAAGTGTTCAAACATATTCTCTATTCCCTTCCCATCTTTTACCTGTAACTCAACCTGCTCCTTCTGCTTCTCTGCCTGGCTCAGGAGGAAGCCTTCCGCCAGAGCCACCGCCTGGGAGCTGGTCTCTGCTCCACACTCCCGCACCCAGCTCTCCATCTCTGGGGGCAGAAGGAACAGGAACTGCTCCAGAACCACCAGGTCCAGCATCTGGGCTTTCGTGTGCATTTCTGGTCTCAGCCATCGCCTACAAAAGTCATGGAGTCGCCTGCAAAGTCCTCGAGGACCCTCAGCCTCCCGGTACTGGATGAACCTCCAGGGCTGAACTTCTGAAGGGAGGATGGTTTCCTCCTCCAGAATCTTCTGCCCAGTTTCTGTCCAGAGCTTCCCCCNTCCATGCATTTATATGGTTTGTCTCCTGTGTGGAGCTTTTTGTGGACACTAAGACCACTGCTATAAGTAAAGGTTTTCCCACACTGCATGCATTTATACGGCTTCCCCCCTGTGTGGATGATCTTATGGGAAATAAGATTATCTCTTCGAACAAAGGTCTTCCCACAATCCACACATTTATAGGGCTTCTCTCCTGTGTGGGTCATCTTATGTGAAATAAGATGATTTTGTCGAGCAAAGGTCTTTCCACACTCCAGGCATTTAAATGGCTTTTTCCCTCCGTGGATCATTTTGTGGATAGTAAGTCCATTACTATATGTAAAGGCCTTTCCACACTCCATGCATTTATACGGCTTTTCTCCTGTGTGGATCTTTTTATGGGAAGCAAGATAATGGCTATGAGCAAAGGTCTTTCCACACTCCATGCATTTATATGGTTTATCACCTGAGTGGATCCTTTTATGGAAAATAAGATTACCATATGTTCTGAACGTGTTACCACACACTCTGCATTTGAATAGCTTCTCCCCAGTGTGAATCCTTTCATGGGAAGTAAGTTGCCTGCTTGTTCTAAAACATTTTCCACATTCCAAACATTTATAAAGCTTCTCTTTTTTGTCAATCACTTTTTGAGTTGTAAGGAAATTATATGGTTTCTCCTGTTGGGCAAGAAAATCTTGCATTGGAGCATCAGTGGAAGATGAGCTTTCCTGATTCCAATCATTTGACTGGTTTCTGTCATGGGTTTGTAATTCCATTTGAATTCCGAACTTCTGCATTCCATCTTTAGCATTGATCACTTGGAACTGTTCACAGGAATCATGATTCTCCTGCCCATTATTACCTTCAAAGCAAAAGAGAAATGAAAATGATAAGAAGGTTCGAGAAAAAGATCAAACTGTAGAAATTCAAGTGGATTACTTTTTGAGTTTCTTCAAAATTCCACTTGGTTGTATGTTTGCATGCTTATAATTGTGTGATACAAACATGAGGATTTCTATATTCATGAGTCATGAAGGATTTGGAATTATCTAGAAGTCATTTCTTTGTTTACAATTTTTTATTTATATATGCAAATCTCACTCAAAGTGCAAGATCACGCGAGATGAACTAGTGTTAGATTTTGCAGTACTGATTTTGTGTATCTCTCACTACTTTAGGCCTCTGTTTTCTGCAAATGCACCAAAGCAGACAAAGGAACTGATGGCTCGCGACATACTCACAACATAAGTCTTGGCGGGGTGGGATGGGGATATAGGTAGGGTGAATGTTGTTCTAGAGCCTGTGCTGTCCTTCCTAAGTTTGAAGGATGGGTGTGGTTCTCCAACATTCGTACTTGGGGGTGGGCTAGATCTTAACTTGGAAGGGTCACTTAGTGAACTGTCATAACTCGTGGATTATCTGTACCCTAGGATGCTCTGAGTCAAACTTCATGAGACCTTTGTTCTTGAATTGTTTTGGGAGAATGCTCTTCTGTGGCTTGAGCGGGAAAGTTCTGTTCCCACACAATTTCAGGGGACAAATGACAACAGCCTTCTTACATGACCTCCAGAAGACACATAAAAGCATACCTCGTTCTTCTCAGCCTCCAC